GCAGGGGGATCAGTTGAGCCCAGGAGATCGAGAACAGCCTGGGCAATATGGTGAAACCTCATCTCTACGAAAAATACAAAAAACTTAGTCAGGCATGATGGCGTGTGCCTGTAATCCCATATATTATTACTTGGAAGGCTAAGGTAGGAGGATTGCTTTAGCCCAGAAGGGATAGGCTGCAGTGAGCCAAGATCATGTTACTGTACTCCAGCGTGGGCAACAGAGTGAGATCTTGTCTCAAAAAAAAAAAAAGCCGGGCGCGGTGGCTCAAGCCTGTAATCCCAGCACTTTGGGAGGCCGAGGCGGGTGGATCACGAGGTCAAGAGATCGAGACCATCCTGGTCAACATGGTGAAACCCCGTCTCTACTAAAAATACAAAAAATTAGCTGGGCATAGTTGTGCATGCCTGTAATCCCAGCTACTCAGGAGGCTGAGGCAGGAGAATTGCCTGAACCCAGGAGGCGGAGGTTGCGGTGAGCCGAGATCGCACCATTGCACTCCAACCTGGGTAACAAGAGTGAAACTCCGTCTCAAAAAAAAAAAAAAAAAAAAAAAGGCAGAAGCTGGAGATGAAGAAAGGTAGCCTCCTACTGTCCTGATCCAGGTCCCACCAGAATATCTCATCCTCCTTTGCATTCCCCAGCACTACTGCCCCAGAGCAGTATCCTACCTCATTCTACTCACTAGAATGGGAGCTCCCATCTCTTTCCAAGTTCAACTGAGCTTGCACTCAGAAGGTACAACTGTAGGCCAAGCACAGTGGCTCACACCTGTAATCCCAGCACTTTGGGAGGCCAAAGCAAGAGGATCATTTGAGATCACAAGTTTAAGACTAGCTACCGGTCGGGCGCAGTGGCTCACACCTGTAATCCCAGCACTTTGGGAGGCCGAGGCGGGTGGATCACGAGGTCAAGAGATCGAGACCATCCTGGTCAACATGGTGAAACCCCATCTCTACTAAAAAATACAAAAAATTGGCCGGGCGCGGTGGCTCAAGCCTGTAATCCCAGCACTTTGGGAGGCCGAGGCGGGTGGATCACGAGGTCAAGAGATCGAGACCATCCTGGTCAACTTGGTGAAACCCTGTCTCTACTAAAAATACAAAAAATTAGTTGGACATGGTGGCGCATGCCTGTAATCCCAGCTACTCAGGAGGCTGAGGCAGGAGAATTGCCTGAGCCCAGGAGGTGGAGGTTACGGTGAGCCGAGATCACGCCATTGCACTCCAGCCTGGGTAACAAGAGCGAAACTCTGTATAAAAAAAAAAAAGAAGAAGAAGAAGACCAGCTACCCTGTCTCTACTAAAAATATAAAAATTAGTCAGGCATGGTGGCACGTGCCCATAATCCCAGCTACTCGGGAGGCTGAGGCAGGAAAATCGCTTGAACCTGGGAGGCGGAGGTTGCAGCGAGCTGAGATGGCACCACTGTACTCCAGCCTGAGTGACAGAGCAAGACTCCATCTCAACAACAACAACAAAAAAGTACAGCTATAAATGTCTATGAACTTGGATTTCAAGAGTAGAGGTCATAGAAAGCACTTCAAGTAACAGGAAGATTAACAGGTATATCTGATTCTATCCCATGTGGTGCTGACTCATAGAAAACACATCAGGGAGGGTTAAATCATTTTATTGCAGTTTGAGGGCAAGGGTGGGCAGGCAGTGAAAAGCCTCAGTAGAGAGGACAGATAATAGCTACATCAAGAGGGAAGGGGCAGACAGCCCAGAAACAGCTTAGATTGGAGAACATGAATGGAGGTCCTGGAAAGGGAAACAGAACCAGAAACAGAGATGATGATGATGTGTCAAGGGGGCCCTTCCAGCACAGAACTGTCCTCCTGCCTGAGACTAGGACTCTGGTCTCCTCCCTTTTTTTTTTTTTTTTTTATTTTGAGACAGAGTATCACTCTATCACCCAGGCTGGAGTGTAATGGCGTAATCTCAGCTCCACCTCCTGGGTTCAAGTAATTCTCCCAACTCAGCCTCCCAAGTTGCTGGGATTACAGACACCTGCCATCATGCCCAGCTAATTTTTGTAGAGATGGAGTTTCACCATGTTAGGCAAGCTGGTCTTGAACTTTTTTTTTTTTTTTTTTTAAGACAGAGTTTTGCTCTTGTTGCCCAAGCTGGAGTACAATGGCGCGATCTCAGCTCACTGCAACCTCCGCCTCCTGGGTTTAAGTGATTCTCCTGCCTCAGCCTCCCTAGTAGCTGGGATTACAGGCATGCGCCACCACGCCCGGCTAATTTTGTATTTTTAGTAAAGATGGGGTTTCTTCTCTATGTTGGTCAGGCTGATCTCAAACTCCCAACCTCAGGTGATCTGCCCACCTCGGCCTCCCAAAGTCCTGGGATTACAGGCGTGAACCACCGTGCCTGGCGGTCTTGAACTTTTGACCTCAGGTAATCTGCACAACCCAGCCTCCCAAAGTGCTGTGATTATAGGCATGAGCTACAGTGACCAGCCAATCTCCTCCCTCTTTAACATCCAAACATATAAAGGTACCTCAGTGACTTCGTATCAAGTAAAGAATGCCCTTATGGGCTACAATCCAGATACTCATACTGCCCCCATAAACCCAAGCCAAATCTAGAACAGCTGAACTTTGGTCCCCAGTGGCTGACCTTTGAGACAAACCCCCTCCACTGGCACAGCGCCCACACTCCCTGACCTGAGGAGATTGTGCTTCCTCCAGGCATCTTGGTCCTCTGTCCTGGCAGCCTCCAGGGTATGACCCTTGCCTTCCTGGCCACTTTGCAATTGCTCCAACATCTGTCAGATCATGGGCTCAGGTGGAACCAAACCTCTCCCTCTCTCCCTCCCTATGACTGTCCTCTTCAGCATACTTGGAACCCTCATGTGGGCGAGGACAGTTTCTCATGGCAGGGAGCAGAAGGGTTAGGAAGAAGAGCTCTGGAAAGAGAGAGAGTCAGCACAGGGAAGAGAGGGATGGAGATAGGACAAGAGAAAGTATCCTGGCCTGTGTGCAGAACAAGATGAAGAGAGAAAGGAAGGGTCCTCCATAGAGAAATATGCAGACACGAGTCTGATCCTAGTCCTACCTTATAATTGCAGGCCTGAGACTGTCATCCCTCAGCCAGCTGTTTCAGCAGCAGCTCCTGGTGCTGGCCTGCAGATGAGAAAGAATGTAAGGGGGCTGTTCCCCAACTTCTTTCCTTCTCCCTCCCTGCCTGTGACCAGCCTGGTGCTGAAAACTGAGACAGAAACATTCTGGCTCACCTGTTGGGAAGCTTCCAAAGTGACTGAAGGGACTAAACTCACATCATGAGAGGCAAAGAGTGCGACAAAATACTTGGCCAGACTTCTCAGTAGCTCAGGCAGTTGGAGCCATGGTCACTTAATGGGAGAACAAGAAGACTTTCCAGGCCGGGTGTGGTGGCTCACACCTATAATCCCAGCACTTTGCAAGGCAGGTAGATCATTTGAGGTCAGGAACCTGGCTCAGAAGGCCCATCTCAGCCCTCCCCTTTGGGCCCCCCTGCAGCAATCTTAATGTGATACTACAGTGGGACTAGCTGGGGATCATCCTCTCTAAGAGTTTCAGAAGAGCCTATATACTCTACTTGCAAATCAAGATATATGTATTCATATAACATGTGTGTGGCAAAATTGTGTGCATACATATGAAGTTGTGTGTACAAAGAAAAGAACTGGCCAAATACCTTCCAGGACACTGATCTGGTACTTCTGCTGCTCTCACTCTTCTAGCATACCCTGCACTGCCTGCCTTAGTGCCTCAGTCACCTCCCCAGGCAGAAAAAAACACATGAGCTACTGTGTTAACAGATTTTCCCAACCCCTAGTATCCTCATATCACACAAACATCACATATACACACCAAGGACTCCAAGCCTCACCTCAGCCTGAGATGGAACCTAGGATCATAGAAGAGTAACTTCATCTTAGAGAGAGAGGATGGGCTATAGGACTCAGGCCAGCACAACCTTTGCGGGGCTGTGGGAGTCTCTAAAGCCCAAAGCTGTTGAGCTTGGACTCCTAACTGCAGAGGCAAGTGATGAGAGGAAATCCAGGTTTCAGACAGGTCCCCTATTGAGGGAATAAGGAAGGTTTAAGTGCAGGGTCTGTGTGGGGAAACAGAGTTTAGGAAAGGACAGAGTTGGAATTTGGAAGGAGTAATGGATGATACAGGCACTGGAAGAAGGCACAGAAAGAGAAAGGGGGTGGAAGTAGAAAGAAACATTACTCGCCTGCGGTGGAGACCCCCAGAAAGATCCGCCGCTATAAAAGAAACAGTTGCACGGGCCAATGAGCTCTGAGAGTCCCTTAACCTGCCCATGCAAACTGGGAGCCTCCACCGACCCCTCACCTTAATTTGGGACATATTTCCATCAGTAGCGTCGAGAAGCACATTGAGCTGCTCAAACCAGTTGAGGCTCCTACTCATATCCTGTGGCGGGGAGCGGCAAGGGTCTGGCTCCCTGGTGTCTTGTGCTTGCTCTCCCAGCTGGGAATATCCAATGCACAGCCCAGGAAGAGCCACCACGGTAGATGGAAAGAGGGAAGTGAGGATGCAACATTCGGGATAGGGGGATGCACTATCAGACCAAAACTGCGATTCTGGGACTAGTGAAAGGAGGGAAGCTCCTGGGGAACTGGAGGAAAAGCGGGATATTCTGATGATACGCAGACATCAGGTCGGGGTTGAAGGTGCCAGAACCTGATCGAGACCTCCCCAGAACAAGTATACTGACACTATCACGCCAAACGTGTGCAAGCCACAACTGCCGCCGCCGGGTTCAAAACTACGTGTTAGTTTTGAAAGTCCGACTTTGGACTGGCTGCCGCAGGGCCACCTGGGAAACTGAGTTCGTCTCTCGCGAACACAACCGGCGATGGAGGTGGAGGAACTACCTTACCCCGGAAGAGACACGTACATGCACACACCCACCGTGAAGCTTGCTGGGAAACTGAGTCCTCCTGACTTGGCGTGGCTGTCTCCAAGGATCAAACTACGCATCCCAAGATGCATCGCGCATAGCCAATAATGTCCCACTACTGGTCCCAATGCTATCTGGGAAACGTAGTCGAAGCTGCCTTAAAAAGAAACGGCCCAGTAGTCCTTGAGACTTCATTCCCCAGCAACCTCAGCGTGTAACGTGCGCTATGGAGCCGAAAGTAGCAGAGCTGAAGCAGAAGATCGAGGACACGCTGTGTCCTTTTGGCTTCGAGGTTTACCCCTTCCAGGTTAGTTTATCCCTCTTGCTGTTCTAGGGTCCTGCTGTTCTAGAGCGACATGATTGGCTTCGTTGCAATTAACATTAGGCCTCGGGAGCCTCTGATCCTCCTGGGTTCCTGTGGCCCGGTGTCCTTTTGACGACAGAGAGTTTCACTGGGGGCTTGGGTTAAAAAGGTAATGGTCGCGGCCAGTCATGGTGGCTCACGCCTGTAATTCCAGTACTGTGGAAGGTCGAGGTGGGCGGATCACCTGAGGTCAGGAGTTCGAGACCAGCCTGGCCACCATGGTGAAACCCTGTCTCTACTAAAAAAAAAAAATGCAAAATTAGCCGGCCGTGGTGACGCATGCCTGTAATCCTAGCTACTCCGGAGGCTAAGGCAGGAGATCGCTTGAACCCAGGAGGCGGAGGTTGCAGTGAGCCGAGATCTCGCAATGGTACTCCAGCCTGGGCAAAAAGAGTGAAACTCTGTCTCAAAAAAAAAAAAGTAGTTGTTGCATGTATGTCCTTTTACCTCCATATAATGCTGGATTGGTTAACGGGAGACACCATATGACCTCTAACTTGTGTGGCTCAGATTGTCACCTACATAAATTACAAAAAGAAAGGGACCTGTGAGGCAGAGTTACCTTGGAACTTCCTAAAGGATTTAGGAGAGGGCAAAGCCTAGAAGGTTTGCATAGCTATGATTTAGGTCAGCTGAGGAGAGAAAGGCATTCGTGGTGATGAACAAGCAAACAATTGGCTGGTTTGTTCCCTCTACCAACAGAAGGGTATTTCATGACGTTGCCAGTCATCGGTGCTGGGCTGAGTAATGAAACTTTGTGCATTCGCTTGGCACAGCAGTCTCGGCACTACACCCCCACCCCATTTACACAGGTACATTTCCCCACATCAGTGCCCTGTTCCCTGAGCAGTTTAAGTTACAAAGCTAAATCAACCCAGTTTGAGCCCTCTGCCTGATGCTTAAGAGAAGAGACAGCCCACTTCCAAATCCTTCCACTGAGTGGCTCACAGCAGTGCTGGAGGAGGATATAGAGGGAGAAGAAGGCTGGGTCTAGTTTGAGAGCGGTCTTGCCAGAAAAAATGGAATTGAGCTATATATAAAAAGATAGAATGAAAGGAAGGAGGATTATGTACATCCCAAATACCAGAAAAAGCTTGAGTAAAGGTGTGGAGACAGGAGTGGTGTTACCAAGTAAAAGGGCTGGATGCCTGATGTGCTAAAAGCCAGTATTATGACACTGGGTTTTTGTGAAAAGAAAAGCTATTTTTTGCAGATCAACCTTTAACTCTTTGAGACACTGTTTCAGTGGATGGCAGGTGAGAACGTCTATTCTGGCAAGTTGAGTACACCTGGGTATTAGGAGCTTTTGTACTGAACAAAGCCAATTGCAGCCCTGCCAATCATCCTAGGCTCCTACCTCTCACCGCCCTACTCCCACATCCAATCTGCCACCAAGACCTACCTATAAGACTGTCTACTGAAGCCAGGCACAGTGGCTCATGCCTGTAATCCCAGCACTTTGGATGGCTGAGGCTGGTGGATCACAAGGTCAAGAGATTGAGACCATCCTGGCCAACATGGTGAAACCCTGTCTCTACTAAAAATACAAAAATTAGCTGGGTGTGGTGGCATGCACCTGTAGTCCCAGCTACTGGGGAAGCTGAAGCAGGAGAATTACTTGAACACAGGAGGTGGAGGATGCAGTGAGCTGAGACTGCGCCAGTATACTCCAGCCTGAGCAACAGAGTGAAACTCTGTCTCAAAAAAAAAAAAAAAAAAAAAAAAAAAAGACTGTCTAGTGAATCTCCCAAATCCATTCCCTTCTATTCCACCCATCTATGCTGTGGTCCAGGACACCATTTCTCACTTGGATTACTCTAATAACCTCCTTGCTGTCATTTTACCTCCAGTCCATCCTCCACACTGCAGCCAGACTGATCTAAAACTGATCATGCTAATTTACTCCTTAAATCTTCAGTGGCTGTTCATTGTCACCAAATTAAATCCATATTCTTTAAATTGGTATTCAAAGCCAATCACAATCTCACTCCTATTGATCTCTCCAGCCTTCTCTCCCTCTGATCCCCTCTAAAGACCTTTTACTTCCACCAAACTAGACAATTTTCAAATATGCCCCGGAATTTTCTGCCAGTGTGTTTGCTTATGCTGTGACCTCTGTTTATTTTATTCTTTATTTATTTAGAGACAAAGTCTCACTCTGTTCCCCAGGCTGGAGTACAGTGGTGCAATCATACCTCACTGCCACCTCAAACTCCTGGACTCAAGAGATCCTCCCACTTCAGTCTCCCAAGTAGCTGACTCCAGGCATGCACCAAAACCAACACGCACCAACATCTCACTTTGTTGCCCTGGCTGGTCTTGAACTCCTGGCCTCAAGTGATCCTCCTGTTTTGGCCACCCAAAGCACTGGGATTACACACGAGTCACCGTGCTCAGTCTGTGACTTGTTTTTAAAATACACACCAGTAAGTTTTTTTTGGAGAAATATAAATAATAAATAACACCAGATTATCTTCCCCACATCAACCTGACAGTTGACTTTCCAGCCTTTAAGACTTAGCATCCAGGCCGGGCGCGGTGGCTCAAGCCTGTAATCCCAGCACTTTGGGAGGCCGAGGCGGGTGGATCATGAGGTCAAGAGATCAAGACCATCCTGGTCAACATGGTGAAACCCCGTCTCTACTAAAAATACAAAACATTAGCTGAGCATGGTGGCGCGTGCCTGTAATCCCAGCTACTCAGGAGGCTGAGGCAGGAGAATTGCCTGAGCCCAGGAGGCGGAGGTTGCGGTTTGCCGAGATCGCGCCATTGCACTCCAGCCTGGGTAACAAGAGCAAAACTCCATCTCAAAAAAAAAAAAAAGAAAGACTTAGCATCCAAGAAAGCCTTTTCTAATTTTAGAAGCCCCTCATCTGGCCCTGTCATTGCACTAGCCATAGTAGAGTCATTTCTATTGTTCTTAGTGGTTCTGCCTTTCTTTTTTTTTTTTTTTTGAGACAGAGTTTCGCTCTTGTTACCCAGGCTGGAGTGCAATGGCGCAATCTCGGCTCACCGCAACCTCCGCCTCCTGGGTTCAGGCAATTCTCCTGCCTCAGCCTCCCGAGTAGCTGGGATTACAGGCACGCGCCACCATGCCCAGCTAACTGCCTTTCTATTAGAACTCTCTGTAGCCAGGTGCAGTGGCTCATGCCTATAATCCCAGCACTTTAGGAGGCCAAGACAGGGAGCGGGGGTGGGGGTGGGGCACAGAGATTACTGGAGGTCAGGAGTTCAAGACCAGCCTGGCCAACGTGGTGAAACCCCATCTCTACAAAAAATACAAAATTAGCTGGGTGTGGTGGCGTGCACCTGTAATCTGAGCTACTCGGGAGGCTGAGGCAGGAGAAGTTCCCTGTCATATAATACATGAACCTATAGTAAACATGAAGGGGAACAGACCTAACCACAACAGTCACATTTAAGCAGATTTCACTTATCTGTTACAGCAGTTAATACCAGCTACAATCAAGTAAGTAATGGTTATCCCACTCTGTCCCATTAAGGCACAACCCCCAGGTATCCTGTGTAGACCTGTATAAAGTGTTCTGCACTATAAGTCAGAAATCCCCAGTAAGTGATGCAGGTATATCCATAGCACTTTGTGTGAACAGCCACAACCTCCACAACTATGTGATTTAGCAAGTTCATTGCAGGTTATGTTACAGGTCTTTGGTTCAGGCTTCTTGTGACATCTCTTCTCCATGTTCAGTGTGTGAATGTGGGTACAGACAGTGTGTTTCAGTGGAATCCAATTTCTTGGATGTACAGGCCAAGTAGACCAAAGCAAATATTGTGTATCCTAAAACTAAAAACAAAGTTTGCATTAATCACACCTTCGCTTTGCTGATTGGTCAACCTCGAAAACATAAGCTTGCTGGCCAGGAACAGTGGCTCCCACCTGTAATCCCAGCACTTTGGGAGGGATTATCCCAGACCGGCGGATAACCTGAAGTCAGGAGTTCGAGACCACCCTAGCCAACATGATGAAACCCCGTCTCTACTAAAAATACAAAAAATGCACCAAGCATGCTGGCAGGCACCTATCATCCCAGCTACTTGGGAGGGTGAGACAGGAGAATCCCTTGAGCCCAGGAGGCAGAGGGTGCAGTAAGCCAAGATTGCACCACTGAACTCCAGCCTGGGGAACAAGAGCAAAATTCTATCTCAGAAAAAAAAACAGGCCGGGCACAGTGGCTCAAGCCTGTAATCCCAGCACTTTGGGAGGCCGAGGCGGGTGGATCACGAGGTCAAGAGATCGAGACCATCCTGGTCAACATGGTGAAACCCCATCTCTACTAAAAATACAAAAAATTAGCTGGGCATCGTGGCTCGTGCCTGTAATCCCAGCTACTCAGGAGGCTGAGGCAGGAGAATTGCCTGAACCCAGGAGGCGGAGGTTGCGGTGAGCCGAGATCGCGCCATTGCACTCCAGCCTGGGTAACAAGAGCGAAATTCCGTCTCAAAAAAAAAAAAGAAAAGAAAAAAAAACAACCCACAAAATTGCTAATAGGGATTTTGTAGACTAATATGGTGTTGAGCATGGTAACAAGAAAGTCTGTCAAAAGTAGGAAAACCCCATCCTGGGCAACATAGGGAGACCCTGTCTCTATGAAATTTTTTTTTTTTTTTTTTAGACGGAATTTCGCTCTTGTTACCCAGGCTGGAGTGCAATGGCGCGATCTCGGCTCACCGCAACCTCCGCCTCCTGGGTTCAAGCAATTCTGCCTCAGCCTCCTTATTTTTTTGTTTTAATCAGCTATCCAGGTGTGGTGGCTCACACCTGTGGTCCCAGCCACTCAGGAGGCTGAGGTGGGATGATTGCTTGAGTGCGGGAGGTTGAGGCTGCAGTGAGCTGTGATCACATCACTGCACTCTAGCCTAGGCAACAGAACAAGACTGTTTCAAAAAAAAAAAAAGTAGGAAAACCCCTGATGGGCTCAAGTCAGAGGTTAAGTACATTTCTAGCCTCTTTAGTAGCGTCAATTCATTAACTGATAAAAATGTTTTCTTTGGCCTGGTACAGAAGCTCGCTCACGCCTGTAATTTTAGCACTTTGGGAGGCCAAGGTGGGCAGATCACTTGAGGCCAGCAGTTTGAGACCACCCTGGACAACATGGTGAAACCTCATCTCTACTAAAAATACAAAAATTTAGCCAGGCCTGGTAGCATATGCCCGCAATCCCAGCTACTTGGGAGGCTGAGGCACAAGAATTGTTTGAACCCAGGAGGCAGAGGTTGCAGTGAGCCAAGATCATGCCACTGCACTGTAACCCCTGGGTAACAGGGAGACTATGTACATTTTAAAAATAAAGGTTTTTGTTTTTGTTTTTGTGTTTTTGAGACAGAGCTTCACTGTTGCCCAGGCTGGAGTTCAATGGCGTGATCTCAGCTCACTGCAACCGCCGCCTCTCAGGCTCAAGCAATTCTGTTGCCTCAGCCTCCTGAGTAACTAGGATTAAAGGCACCCACCACCACGCCTGAATAATTTTTTGTATTTTTAGTAGAGACGGTTTCACCATGTTAACCATGGCTGGCCTCAAACTCCTGACCTCAGGTGATGCGCTCACCTCAGCCTCCCAGAGTGTTGGGATTTCAGGTGTGAGCCACCACAACTGGCCAGGTTTCTTGTTTTTAAAGACAGGTTCTCAGCTGTCTTGCCCAGCCTGGTCTCAAACACTTGACTTCAAGCAATTCTGCTTCTATTTAGCCTCCCAAAGTGCTGGGATTGCAGGCATGAGCCACCATGCCCAGCCTAAAAACAGTATTTTAAGAAACTGCCTGTTCTCTGCAAATTCTCTCTAGAGTTAAGGTTATATAGCCTGGAACATAATCGTGTCTTTGCTCTGTCTATGAAGATGCTTTGGACATAGTTCAAGGTTTTGTTTTTTTGACACAGAGTTTCCCTCTTGTCGGCCAGGCTGGGGCTGGAGTGCAGTGGCGAGATCTCAGCTCACTGCAACTTCCACCTCCCAGATTGAAGCAATTCTCCTGCCTCAGCCTCCCCAGTAGCTGGGATTACAGGGGCACACTACTATGCCTGGCTTTTTTTTTTTTTTTTTTTTTTAGTAGCGACAGGGTTTCACCATGCTGGCCAGGCTGGTCTGGAAATCCTGACCTCATGATCCACCCATCTTGGCCTCCCGAAGTGCTGGGATTACAGGTGTGAGCCACTGCACCCAGCCCCCATAAGGTAATCTGCTATAACCCTTTGATCTTCGACGTAGACATAGGTTGCTGCCACTGATGGTTTCCCCTGGCAACATATCAAAAGGGTAAAGTGCTGGTTGGGAAGGGATTGGTGAAACCACATTGTTTTGCGTCATTTGAAGATGAGTTGGGCTGTGGCATAAACAGCATTGAAGGTTCGGGTGGCTTTCTCCCTCTCAGGCTTGGCTGCAGCAACATGCTTTTCCAGATTAACAATATTCTTCTGAACAACTGTTAAGGCATCATATGCTTCTGCTTTGAGAAATCTCCAATCTTGCTTTTGTCTTAGAATGCCAAGGTGTTGGACTTGGAGGGCGAGTGTGTTGACAGCCACTTTGACTGTTCCCATGCTTCATGTACCTCAGTCAGTTGTGGATTTAGGAACTCTGCTCTGTTGGACCTTGTTCCTGAGTTTTTCATTTTCCTTTTTTTTTTTTTTTTTTTTTTTGAGATGGAGTCTTGCTTTGTTACCGAAGCTGGAATGCAGTGGCACAGTCTTGGCTCACCACAACCTCCACCAACCCCCTGGGCTGAAACAATTCTCCTGCTTCAGCACCCTGAGTAGCTGGGACTATACCATACCCGGCTACTTGTTTTGTATTTTTCATAGGGACAGGGTTTCACTATGTTGGCCAGGCTGGTCTCAAACTCCTGACCTCATGATCCACCCACCTCGGCCTCCCAAAGTGCTGGGATTACAGGCGTGAGCCACCAGGCCTGGTGGAATTTTTCATTTTCATTGGCTCATTTGTAGTTGGATGAGGCCTGAATTCTTTGTTGTCAGTCAGTCCATCAATCAATAAATAATTCCCTGGGCCAGGCATGGTGGCTTAAGCCTATAATCTCAGCACTTTGGGATGCTGAAACTGGTGGATCCTAGCTAAGGCCAGGAGTTCGGGACCAGCCTGGCCAACTTGGCAAAACCCTATCTCTACTAAAAATACAAAAACTAGCCAGGCGTGGTGGTACACATATGTAATCCCAGCTACTTGGGAGGCTGAGGCAGGAGAATCACTTGAACCTGAGAGGCAGAAATTGCAGTGAGCCAAGATCATGCCATTGCACTCCAGCCTGGGCGACAGAGCAAGGCTCTGTCTCAAAAAATAATCAATTCCCTGTCAAATTCAGTTGAGTTGCTTATAAAAATATATCACATAGCATCAGTGAAAATTCATTGAATGAATAAGACGGATGCTGGGGCAAAAGTATGAGGCCTGAAGGTTAAGGTTTGGGCCAGGCTAAGGCCTAGACTGGCCCTCTCCAGCCTGGACTGAATTTTCTGTTTCAGGTGGCATGGTACAATGAACTCTTGCCTCCAGCCTTCCACCTACCCCTGTCAGGACCTACCCTGGCCTTCTTGGTACTCAGCACGCCTGCCATGTTTGACCGGGCCCTCAAGCCCTTCTTGCAGAGCTGCCACCTCCAAATGCTGACCGACCCAGTGGACCAATGTGTGGCCTACCATCTGAACCGTGTTAGAGAGGTGAGGAAGGCTGTTTTCCCCCAGCTCCCAAACCTACAGCTGCCTCCAGTTCCTCCAGGCTCAATGCAGGATCTAGCCTAGGGCTGGAAGCCACGTCAAAGGTGAAATGATACCCTAAAGCCAGGCTTGACATTCTGTGATATTTCCCCATTCTGCTTTCTCACACACCCAGGTTCCACCACCCTCCTCCAGCAGTCCCCCCGTGTGCAGTCTAACTCACCCTACACTGATGGGCAACTATTATGAACCTCACACCAGGCTTTCCTTGGCCTCCAAGTGGAATAGGAGTGAGTCCAACATTCCTGCAAGCTTTACCTTGTCTTTTTGAGGACAGAACAGTATAGGCCATTCTGGAAATAACTATAACTAGGTCCACATTGGAGCCTCCCAGGATAAGGTCATGTTTTCCCTTTTGAAGACAGTACCATGTTGACACACACACACACACACACACACACACACAACAAACTAAGGCTCCCTAGGACAAGGTTATAACTTCTCTCGTGCTAACAGTAGCCTCTAATGTGTCCACTATTCCAGAGCCTCCCAGAGCTACAGATAGAAGTCATTGCTGACTATGAGGTACACCCCAACCGACGCCCCAAGATCCTGGCCCAGACAGCAGCCCATGTAGCAGGTGCTGCTTACTACTACCAACGAAAAGATGTGGAGGCTGACCCGTGGGGAAACCAGGTGAGAAGGAAAATGTAAATAGAGGCTGAGAGACTGGTAAAGGCCTCTGCCTACCAGGTCCCACATTCTTCAGCCTTCCCTGGATGGATTTGTTTGACACAACTCATAGAGTTGCAAGCTGTGTCCTGGCCAGGGGGCAGTCCTGTCACATGCTTTCTGTTGTCTAACTGGGGACTTGAGAGTGAGAAAACCTGATGTGCAGAACTGTCTTAGGATACAGAGAGAATAGCAGTGTTCAGACTAGTGAGACTGGGAAGCCTAGCCCTTCCTTGTGCCCAGGGTAGTTTATAAAAGGGTTTGCCGAAAGAAAGACAGAGGTTTACGTAGAGTCAGTGTACACTGAGTGGGGAAATAAGTGAACAGGCCTAGCTTGCAGTGATAGCAGTTGGACTTGAGGACCTCCATGACCCTGATTTTCTTCACCCTCTTCCCAGCACATATCAGGTGTGTGCATACACCCCCAATTTGGGGGCTGGTTTGCCATCCGAGGGGTTGTGCTGCTGCCAGGGATAGAGGTACCAGATCTGCCACCCAGAAAACCTCATGACTGTGTACCTACAAGAGCTGACCGTATCGCCCTACTCGAAGGCTTCAATTTCCACTGGCGTGACTGGACTTACCGGGATGCTGTGACACCCCAGGAGCGCTACTCAGAAGAGCAGAAGGCTTACTTCTCCACGCCACCTGCCCAACGACTGGCCCTGCTGGGCTTGGCTCAGCCCTCAGAGAAGCCTAGTTCTCCATCCCCGGACTTTCCCTTTACCATACATACCGCCAAGACGCCTGGGAATCCCAGCAGAGCCCGGAGCTGGCTTAGCCCCAGGGTCTCACCACCTGCATCCCCTGGCCCTTGATAGCTTTCTCCCATGTCGACTCTGATTTATGGTGGTACCTGCTAGAACTTAATTGGCTTTAGCAAAGTAAAGGTTTTGAGTATAAGATTACTACTTTCAATATCTTCCATGAAGATAACAAGCTCAAGGAAATTAAGTTTGGCCAACATAAAGGCCAGGGAAGATCCAGAATTTCCATCTGCCTTTGGCTCACGCCTATAATCCCAGCACTTTGGGAGGCTGAGGCGGGTCGATCACGAGGTCAGGAATTCGAGACTAGCCTGGCCAACATGATGAAGCCCTGCCTCTACTAAAACTATAAAAAGTTAGCCAGGCATGGTGGTGCAAGCCTGTAGTCCCAGCTTCTCGGTCAGCTGAGGCAGGAGAATCGCTTGCACCTGGGAAGCAGAGGTTGCAGTGAGCCAACATTGTACCACCACGCTCAAGCTTGGGTGACAGTGTGAGACTTTCTCCAAAAAGAAAAAAGAGTGCCTATCTCATATGGACTAAAAAAACACACATAGCCGGGCGCGGTGGCTCAAGCCTGTAATCCCAGCACTTTGGGAGGCCGAGGCGGGTGGATCACAAGGTCGAGAGATCGAGACCAACCTGATCAACATGGTGAAACCCCGTCTCTACTAAAAATACAAAAAATTAGCTGGGCATGGTGGCGCGTGCCTATAATCCCAGCTACTCAGGAGGCTGAGGCAGGAGAATTGCCTGAACCCAGGAGGCGGAGGTTGCGGTGAGCCGAGATCGCGCCATTGCACTCCAGCCTGGGTAACAAGGGCGAAACTCCGTCTCAAAAAAAAAAAAAAAAAAAAAAAACACACATAAAGCAGTTTGGAAAAGTACCTGGGATCGCTTCTCGGCCTTTTGGCTAAGATCAAGTGTAGTATCTGTTCTTAACAGTTTAATTTAATAAATAAATAAATAAAAGTATCTGCTATGTTGGCTGTTACCAAAGGCCTGGGAATTCTGTACTGCTGTTCATGGGTATAGTCTGGGTTCTAGAGGAGGAGGGGACAGACTGGAGTAGCTGATGAACACAAGTGGCTGGAATAGCACCATATGATACACAGGAAGTCTCCTCAGTTCGAATCTACCCTGGCTTAGAGGGCCCAGGAGAATAACTTTTCCCAGCTGACAACCTCTGGGGAAAATGATGTTATGAATGAGGATCAAAACTGGCTTTCTGGCCGGGCACGGTGGCTCAAGCCTGTAATCCCAGCACTTACTTTGGGAGGCCGAGGTGGGTGAATCACGAGGTCAAGAGATCGAGACCATCCTGGTCAACATGGTGAAACCCCGTCTCTACTAAAATACAAAAAAATTAGCTGGGCATGGTGGTGCGTGCCTGTAATCCCAGCTACTCAGGAGGCTGAGGCAGGAGAATTGCCTGAACCCAGGAGGCGGAGGTTGCGGTGAGCCGAGATCGCGCCATTGCACTCCAGCCTGGGTAATAAGAGCGAAACTCCGTCTCAAAAAAAAAAAAAAAAAAAAAAAAAAAAAAAACTGGCTTTCTTTGGCCAGGCACTGTGGCTTTCACCTGTAATCCCACCACTTCGGGAGGCTGACGTGGAAGATCGTTTGAGGCCAGGAGTTCAGAACCAGTCTGGGAAACAGTGACACTGAAAAAGACTTATCTCTAATCAAGGCTAGAACCCAGGAAAGGCTAAGAATTGCTCAGTACTATATACAACTATTACCGAAAGCCCTACCCAAGACCACAAGCCCTTTCTGTCTTCCTCTTTCCACCATCAGTTCAATAGGAACAGAAACCTCCAACTTTTTTTTTGAGATGGAGTCTGGCTCTGTCGCCAGGCTGGAATACAGTGGCATGATCTCAGCTCACTGCAATCTCCACCTCCCGAGTTCAAGGGCTCCTCCTGCCTCAGCCTCCTGAGTAGTTGGGACTATAGGCACGCACCACAATGCCCAGCACATTTTTTGTATTTTTAGTAGAGACGGGGTTTCACCATGTTGGCCAAGATGATCTCAATCTCTTGACCTCGTGACCTGCCTGCCTTGGCCTCCCAAAGTGTTGAGGATTACAGGAATGAACCACTGTGCCCAGCCCCTGTTTTTTTACAAAGCAGATACAGGCATTTAACAGAAGAGGCCAAGCTTTTGGTTCCCATGCAGCCCTTTGAATAGTGTGTTCAAGTAAAAATAGGTGTCCAAGTAATCACATTGAGACTTAACTGGGAACCCAGCCCGTGGCATTAATTCGCAGTGGTCCCACCAACACTATAGCAGGGCTTATTCTTCTCCCTCACGTGTAGTGAAACTAAATGTAACACTGTGGGTTCACTCAATTCCATTTCCTGTGTCTATATTATTCCCTGATTCTTAGGCAGCTCTCCTCATTTTGCCCTAAAGAGGAAAAGCAAAGAGCAAATTCCTCTTAAAATAAAAGGCTAATAATATGTCTCCTAAAATAGAGACTCATCAAGGTCTCAGTTCAAGTTGAATACAAACTACAAAAGATCAATGGGTTGATGCCCTCTACTGATACATCATACAAATCAATGGCCTGCCCACAACACAACTCTGGCTATTCCTATTGTAGGAAGAAAGGCTGGTCTCTCCACTCTCTGTAGCAAAGGACTCCCCTGTAACACACCACAATTCAGCTGAATCTGAAGTCTTGTGTTTTACTTATGGGGGGAAAAAATACAAAAGAGGTTTTGTTCTCATGGCTGCCCACTGCAAGCCTGGCATAAACAGCCCGCTCACTTCTGTTTGGAGAAATATTCTTTGCTCTTTTGGACATCAGGCTTGATGGTATCACTGCCAGGTTTCCAGCCAGCTGGGCACACTGCAAGAGAAAGGTACCACTAATTAATAACCTCTTATTATGGTGTGCACCATTCTCCTATGGACAAAACCAGTTCTGCACCCTAAAGGGCCCCTGAACATGTAGAAACCAGGAAACCTACCCCCGCAATCAGCCTAAGATCATTCAGCCTTTTAGTGTAAGCTAACCATTTTACAAACATTATGTAATTTAATCACCATAGCCTTAAGATGCTATTATTCCTAATTTATTCATACAGCACTTGAAATTTAAATGTTCCACCAAAAAGGCAAAGTTTAAATAATTTGCCAACATTCCCCAATCCTTAAGGGGAAAAAAAAAGCTAAATAAATGACACACATAGGACTATGTAAACCCTTAGCACTAAACTGCTGTTTCCCTCTGACAGTCCTTTAGAGCTCTGAAGGCAACAACCTCAGTTTGCCTTCTCAGCATTTTTTTTTTTTTTTCTGAGGCAGAATTTTACTCTTGTTGCCTCCAGGCTGGAGTGCAATGTCACAATCTTGGCTCACTGCAACCTCCTTCTTCCAAGTTCAAGTGATTCTCCTGCCTTAGCCTCCCAAATAGCTGGGATTACAGGCACCCCGCCACAATACCCAGCTAATTTTTGTATTTTTAGTAAAAACAAGGTTTCACCATGTTGGCCAGGCTGCCCTCCTGACCTTAGGTGATCCACCCACCTCAGCCTCCCAAAGTGCTGGGATAAATGGCATGAGCCATCAAACCTGGCCCAATTTTCCCACTGCCATGTGCTATCATATTCTAGGAGACATGCAGTCACCAAAGTACAGTAGAAACAGCAAGTGTCTCAACTGCTCAAGTGAGAGATGGGGAAGCCCCTTTTTGGTCCAAGGATATCATAACCTCAGATGTCCAGACTCTATAAAAAGAAGACTATAAACAGCTCTCTAGGCACAAAGTATAGATAGAACAAGAGCTAAATAGAAGGACGAGCTGCCATTATTTTTCTAAAATCTCCATCTGATTGTTAGTTACTGGCTACAGTAATATCAAAGGGTCCTAAAGATAAACAAGTTGCAGAGAACAAAGAACAGCATAAAAGCAAAGACTAGGCCAGGCCAGAGCCAGCTAGTGGTTTGCCAATAGGTGCTACAAAGGGACTAAAAAAAATTCCTCTGGCTGGGCATGGTGGCTCATGCCTGTAATCCAAGCACTGTGGAGGCCAAGGCGGGTAGATCACCTGAGGTCGGGAGTTCAAAACCAGCCTGACCAACATGGTGAAATCCCATCTTTAAAAATAAATTAAATAATAATTTTTTTAAAATTTCCTCTGTCCAGGATGAAATAACTGGACTATACAGATAAGTAAGACAAATAATGAACCAGAAAGGACCTTGCCAACTCAGTTTCCTGACACTAAGGCCTCATGGGTCTTACAATCATATTAGTGACAGATCCCTAGTTAAATGTTTCGCTCATACCCAACAGTGGTGGATTATTTTAAAATAATGGCAGCTGATCCACTTTCAAGTTCATCTAAAGTGCCATGACTCTCCAAAGAGAAAATTAGTCACATTTACCTCACTCAGTACAGAAGACCCTAAACAATGTCTTTTTTCAGCATTTTAATTACCAACAAGAGGCAGGTTTTGAATGTGGATCCCACTTCCACCATTTACAATGAATAAACAGTGTGTTTTAAATATTGGTTTATTGATCCTAATTAACATAGACTTATTTGTCAAACATAACACATATTAAGTATATATAAAAATAGTGTTTGGCAGCTGGGCACAGTGGTTCACACCTATAATCTCAGCACTTTGGGAGGCCAAGACAGGATTGCTTGCACTCAGGAGTTTAAGACCAGCCTGGTCAACATGGCAAAATCCCATCTCTACAAAATATACAAAAACTACCAGAACATGGTGGTGGAACACTGTAGACCTAGCTACTCAGGAGGCTGAGGGAAGAGAATCGCTTGAACTCAGGAGGTGGAGGTTGCAGTGAGCCAAGATCACACCACTGCATTCCAGTCTGAGCAACAAAACAAGATTCTGTCTCAAAAAAAAAAAAAAAAAAAGAAACAGTGTTTGGCATTCATAGGCTCTTAAATGGTGCCTATTTAAAAGGCTGTATATGTTCCAGTGGGATGGGAAGCAGCAGAAACCAAGAGTGTGAAGAAGCAAGCTTCAGACTCATGAAAGCTTGGATTCAGAAGACTAACCTAGGAAAGTGCACTTAAAGGGCCTACCTTTGCCATTCTCTGCTCCTTAATGCTGAACCTCATCCCCCACCAGGGGGCAGTCTCAGCAGGTGTC